CTTTTTTTTTTTTTTTTTTTTTTTTTTTGGCCGTGTCGTAACCCAGGATGTGGCAGACTTAAAAAGCCAATACAAGGACTTGCTGGTAAGCTTCTTGGTCATTTTCTGGACAGATGGGGTCATACAGCAGAGTAACAACTTCCCCCACGGACAGGGAATGCCCAGCTCAGGGCAGGAGCTACCTCTGTTCTTGCACAGTGAAGTTGTGTTCCTCATTTTCTTTCCCCACTTCCTCCCCACCATGGAATGGGTGTAAATTGAGAGCACGCTCGCTACCCTCAGGGGAAGGCTGTGGGTGAGATCCGTGTCTCTCCATGGTTCGCTGACCTGGTGCTGCCTATGCGTCTGTGAGCTCAGGGTTAGAGATGCCGCAGCAGGAAACCCTGTCCCAGCCCACAGGCTGTTCCAAATCAGGATTGCAAATGTTGAGGTTTGCACTGATCCCTAACAAGGGCTCCAGAGAGGAAACGAGCAGCTGGAGCAAAGGAGGTGGCCAGGAAGAAGGTCCTGGGTTTAGCCAGCTGGGCCCGTAGAGGTTAATGCTGAAGAATGGCATTTCTGAGAAATATAGCAGAGCTGGGCTAGCTCTCAGCCTGCCTGAGGCACCATCCCACACCCAAGATTCTGGTTAGACAAACATATCCTGTCTGTGAAGGAGGGAAAGGGAACTGGCAAGCCCCATCAGATAAGAGCAAGCAGCAGCAGATGTCTCACCAAGGTCTCTGGGAATCTCCTGGTGGATGTGCAACACGAGCGGGGTCCTGGGGAGGAGGAGGGGAAAGGGGGTCCTCAGCCTGAACACCAATGCTGTCTCTCTCCCATGTGCATGGGCAGAAAGCCTCCATCTGGCGAGGGCAGAGCCTGGGCAGCCTGTACCACCACCTCCAGGGCTGCACCAAGGAGCTGGGCTACCTGACGGACCAGCAGACCAGGATCCTGAAGCAGGACTGGAGTGACCAAATGATGGACGTCCAAAGCATGCGTCGGGAGTATGAGGTGAGCTCTTGGGGGTGGTAGCTTGTCCTACCATTGGGGCAGGAGATTTGCAGGGTGGATCCCAGCCTCCTAGACATCCACCGCCAGCCCTGAGCCTGGTGCTTTCCCAGGCAGCCCAATACCGCTGGGCACAGAAACAGAGGTGGCAGAGTCACACTGGGCCTGTGCTGGAGTTAAGGATGAGCCACTCTGTGTGTCCCCTCCTGTCCCCTGAGCTGGCACATGGGATCAAACATTACAGAGCTGTTGGTGAGGCTCAGTGGTCAGAAGGGAGGGAAGGGCTCAGCGTTGTGTCAGCCTCAACATCCAGAGCGCAACACCCAGTGACTGCTATATGCTGGGACCAGGAAGAAGAGCGGGATAATTGCTTAGGAAAATGCTCTTTGAACGAATGCACTGATGTTTTCTGAAGCCCAAGCGTGTCTAATTTGCTTTAGCTTTGCCTAGACCCTTCTTTTTTTTAAAAACAAGGATGTCTATGCTTTGGGAGCCTTTTCTCTGCTATGTGGGGTGTGATGCCCCAGGAGACAGCTCTGTGCTCCCTGCGTGCTCCCACTGTCATGAAGTTTCTCTTCCCCTTCAGGACTTCAAGTCCAATGAGCTGCTCAGCCAGGAAGAGGTTGTGAACAATCTTCAGGATGATGGGGATAGGATGATAGAGCTGAAGCATCCAGCTGTCAAACCTATCCAGGTAGGGAACAGGGATCTCCTTCCAAACCCTATAAGAGAATGAGAATGCTTTCCATAATTTCTGGATCATGAGCCAAGAGGCAGGTTGGAGGAGATCTCTTCACCTCTTCTGCAGAGCTGCTGTGTTCCTCTTTCCTCCCGCACTGCACCGACTGTACCACAGCATCTTTCTGCCTGCTCCAGCCCCATGGGGAGGCTGGGGGCAGCGCAGGATCTTCACCCGTTCAGAAATCTCCAGGAGATAGTGGCTAACATCTGTGTGCTGAGACCAGCTCCTGGTCTGGTGCTCAGATGTGTGGTCAATGCAGCCGCATTCATGCTGCTGTGAAACTCCAACTATGGCGCGGCATGGCCTCTCCCAGGTGACACCAGCTCTCCACATCCAAGGCTGTATTTCCCAGCCTGCAGATGCAGTGGCAAGCTGAGGTGGGCTCAGAGCCACCCATACCACTGGAGCTGAGGCCTCTTGAGAAATGGTGGCAGCTCTGTATGAGCCAGGTCCCCATGGAGCAATATGCTTGCTCAGGCTCAGCATCAGGCAGTGCCCAGGCATAGCTTTGCCTCTGCTCCACAGTGGTCTTTACCCTTCCTCTGGTCTCTGGGACTTCTGGGGAAAGGAGATCACTGGTGGGGGAGGTGGGACCAGCTGGAGCCCACTGAGTTGTGTTCTGTCCTACCACAGGCTCACCAGGAAGCCTTGAAGAACGAGTGGCAGAATTTCTTGAATCTCTGCATTTGCCAGGAGAGTCAACTGAAAAGCGTGGAGAACTATAAGAAGGTAAAAAGCAATGAACCATGGGACTGCAGAGTCAGGCCGGAGTGGGCAGGCTGGGAAGAGAGACAGCAAAGGGATGAGGATGGGAGATCCTTTGCTTGCACCTAGTCAGGGTATTTTGGGGAAACACCCCTCAAAACAGCCCTTCAGTGCTGCAGTGAAGGACTGGCTCCCAGCTCACCTCATCAGCCCTGTTGTGTTAGCGTGCTGGCTTGGAGAAGAGGGGCAGGAGAGGGTTTGCTCACTGTCATTGCCTGGGACTTGTCTGTTGATTGGGATTTATTTGCCTGTGGCTAAGGCAATGGAGAGTCCTTATCCAAGCACACACTCTGAGGGTGGTCTGTAGGGTCTTGCGATCACCAGAAGGTTGTGGGAGAGATGCTGGGAATGGAGACACCCCATTGGACTTGGAGATAGTCACGTCCTCCCAACCCTGACTGTTTTCCTACGCACACCTCCAGTTCCAGGATGATGCTGAGGCTGTGAGCTGCTCCCTGAAGAAGATGAATTCTGACCTGGACACCAAATACAGCAAGTTCAACAAAGACAGCCCTGGGGTGGTGTCAGATCTGCTGCTTCAGCTGGAGGTGAGGTCTTCAAGGCTGGTGGCACGAGCCAGACCTAAGGGGGAGACCAAACGTTACAACCTCCCTGATAAATAACAGTGAGGAAGGGGAAGAGGTGGGTAAATAACCCTACTGGGACAGCTCATCCCAGCTCTGTGCTAGGGAGGGGGAAGCCCATGGCAATACTGTGCACTGGGTGCTGAGTCCCTGTAGCCCTAGAAGGTCCATGATGTGGGGCAGTGCCCCCTGGGAAGGCACTGATCCCCACCAGTGACATGCAGCCAGGCCCCAGCTCACCATCAGAGTAAAGAAGGAGCTGCACATTGTCCTAAACATGAGACACTTGGATTAGAGGGCCCACAGAGAGTGTGAGCTGCTTGCATCCAAGGAGCAGGGAAAGGGCCTCCCATCTCCTCAGCACTCTCATGAGCCAAGGGTGAGGGAGGGAATAAAGAAGTCTGACCTCAGGGGTGAGATGCAGATAGGAAAGGAACATTTGCCCGGGAGAGAGGGAGGGGACCCATTCAAAATGTTACCTATCTTCTATGCATGCAACACATTTTGCTCCCAAGAGGTGCTGGGATCTTGGTATCTTCTGACACTGGAATGCGGCCACCTCTTGGCAGGTCTCTGTTCCATTTCTGAGAAGAAAAACTTCTCCAGGAGATCTAATATGACAATGTCGGGTTGTCTAAGGTTAACTCAGGCTGTGCCTTCAAGGGCAGATCCGCTGTGAGCAAAGGAAACCAAGGAAAGCCGTGATAATGAAAAGGGGAAGAAGGGACATGGAGGGGTCAAGAATGGAGACACTTCTGACTTCACCCCAGCAGTGACCACACAAGGATGGACAACCGGCCCCAGCGTACCCACTGTAATGCCATCCCCCCTTCCTTCTCATCCAAGCCTAGTCACAACCACTGTCTTCCCTGTTTTGTCTAGAATGAGGAGAAGGTGGTGAAGCAGGCAGAGAAGAGCATCGCTGACCTGAAGAGAAGGAGCAAAGAGATCAGCCCACTGAAACTGCGCAGGATGCGTCCCTCCCAGCCCGTCACCTTGGACACCCTCTGTGACTGGGATGCTGGGGAGGTGAGGGCTTGACTTAGCAGTACCCTCAGAAGAGGCAGGCAACTGGATTCTTCTTTGGTTGCTCCAAATCTTGGCTATGGTGGGAGGAACTGGCCTAGTGCTGGCAAGCCAAGCCTTTCACTGGATTTTGTGTCTTTGTCCCAGGTGCAGCTGACAAGAGGTGACAAGTACACTCTGAAGGACAACAGCAACCCGGAGATGTGGGTGGTGCAGAGCAGCGCTGGTGTGGTCCAGGAGGCACCTTCTGCTTGCTTCTCCATCCCTCCACCAGACCCCGAGTCCATAGACAAGGTCAATAGGTGAGTCTGCAGCGGAGAGCTTGACCCAGACAGATGTTTGGACTTGCTCGTAGGTTATAGCCAGCATGACTCCCTCAGAAACAGCAGCTAGGAACATACCTCTTGACTGTCTGGTATGAAAGCCCTCCTGGAGAAGGATTGTTCCCTGCACCCAAGTCCAGGTTCCTGGCATTCCTCAACAGCACTGCACACTGCCTGGACCTTGCTGTCAAAGATATTTCTGGCAGTCAGGCTTGATTTCTTCACCCAAACATGTGACTCGCATAGGTTTGACTAAATTAATTGCCGAATCAGTCTGGAGCTTGGGACTTGCCAAACAGGACAGAGTTATCTGTGGTATCTCCTCTCAGCCAGCCCCAGCTGGAGACTGAGAAATGTTTCCGGAACCACCGTGTAAGTCAGCTCAGCCAGCTTCTGTGGTTCCCACAGGATGGGGCAGTGGTGCAAGGAGCTTGGCATTACATTTTTAATCATGTCCCCTGGTGCTTGGGTACATCAGTGATGCTCAGGTGCTGTGGAAAGGCCCACAGCCCAGGTTCAGAGTTACTTGGGCATGTCTGTGACAGGAGCCCCCATCAGGTGGGAGGGATTTCTTCATGGTTTTGCTCTTTCTGAGTGCGTACCGCTCTTTGCACATCCCATATTACTGAATCCTTTGGATTTACGGGTTTCATATGTGTTTTAAAACAGAAAAGAAGTTTGCAATGTCCTCCTGGATAACGGCTCTGCAGGTGTTGCCTGGGATCTTTCCCTTTTCAGGCCACCTCTGGCAGCTTGGCTCACTTCCCAGTGTTTGCTTCCCTTCCTACATACAAAATCTTTGTCTTTGTTTTATTTCCCAGCCTCTTCCACCATTCAGCCCCTCTGCATGGAGCTATGTCCTGGCCTTGCAGAGGGAAAGCCCTTGGATGGCAACAGCCAGGCAAGCTGGGACTTGCTGGTTTTAAAGCACGGTGTTTAGTTGGAGCAATCCATAGCAGGGATGTGAACTCGCCTGGTCCTTCAAAGGCCCTTCCTCCTCATTCCATCAGTTTTCTCCCACCCAGACATTTTTTTGGTCCTTCCAGCTCCTGCTGATCCCAGCTCTAGTTTCATTAGGAGATACCCATCCTTACAAATGAGAGTTGGCGTTTCCAGGGCTGCAGCCACAGAAGCAGCTACTTGTACTCGCTTCCTACAAAGCTCTGCAGTGATATGAAATGAATTTCCAGCTTCGTTAGCATCTGGTGGGAGTTGGGAAACACTGGCTCCATTGGGAGAAACCAACTGCTCGAACCAACTGGCTGCTCTTGCTGCTGTCCCTTTTCCTAAGGGACATCTCTGAGTGACAACAGGCTGCAGGCTCCCAGCCTGCCCCTACCTCTGGGAACACCTTCCCTGGCACAGGCACGAAGCTGCTCCTGGGCTGGGCTCTGTCGGGGCTTGCTCAGTGCAGCAGCATCCCGTCCTGCTGGCTGATGTTGTTCCTCTCTGCTCACAGGCTGGAAGGGGAACTGAACGTGGTGAAGCAGAAGCGAGCGGTGGTTCAGAGCACCCTGAGACACAGCCACAAGGAGCAGGTTCAACCCAGCCAGCAGGGTATGTCAGCTGGTTAGCCAAGTCTGCCCCAAAGCAAGCCCATGCACCTCCCTTGCAGAGCTCCCAGACCTGGCTGGAAGTAGAGCACCCACCCGGGGCAGGCTGGGGTGGGCGTGAGGATGCCGCCTGCTCTATGGAAAAGAGCAGCTGCTGGGAAAACCTGATTTCTGGTGCTGCCAAGGACTCACCATGTGATCTTGGGCAATTCACTTAAACTCTTTTGATCTTCTCAAACTTCTGAGATTGACCTCCAGCTCCACCAACAGTTGCAGAGTATTTAGGGTTGCAGGGGGATATGCCTATCCAGAAGCCTTAATTAAACCTTCCTTGGGATCCAAGTTCCTCGCAGTCCTCTTCCCTAGCTGGGGGCTGTGGAATAAATAGGCAGCCATGGCTAAATCCTGACCCCTGGCTAGCTGTGTAACTCCCACAGCTGTAGTTCAAAAAGCTCCCAGTGAAGCTAAGCAGGGACATGTCTGCATGGCAGTGCATGGCTGTCTCTGTCCCGCTTTGGACTTGAGCTCTGGCTGGCCGGGGCAGAGCTAAAACCATTTTCCTAAGGCTTTTCCGTGGGTAGGCACACACATGTGCGTGATGCTCTGCGGATTAGAAATGTTAACTGAATTGTTTATGGTTGCATCAAACCCCCATGCTCAGGAGAAGCCTGAGTGCTTCAGAATTGCAGAACATAAAGGGCAGAGCTTTGCAGCAGGGCTGACATGAGAGGGAGTTGGAGCTTTAGGGACTGTGTATGGGAGAGCTTGGGGAAAGGGCCATGCACCAAGACTGGGATGGCAGATGAGAAATGGGGCTTAACCTAAGCTGTGTCTCACTGCAGCTCTGTCCAGGAGCCCCCCTGTAGTCCAGGATGATCCCCAAGCTGACCAGCTTCTCGGTAGCCTGGATCATGTTGGCAAGGAGCTGGTCCAGGTAGAGAAGGAGGTCTTGAACCGAGTGAGGTCTCCAGTGAACTACAGTGACCCCACAGATGACCTTGCCAGGAGGATCAAACACCAGCAGGTGGGTGCTGCTGCGGGCAGGTTGGAGCAGGATGAGTTTGGTAATGCTGTGTCCTTGGCCCAAAACAGAACTGATGTAGGAATTCCACAGGAGATGACAGCCGGTGCTTCAGAGGAGAAACCCGCGCTGCAGTTGCAAGGGTTTCAGGCTTGCTTGAGCCCTTGAAATGGGACAGGTTAAGCCAAACCCTAAAGAGGCGCAGTCTCTTCCTTTGGCTCAGCTCTGTAGCAAGATGGTCCATTTGTTTCAGAGCTGTAGACCAGAAGCCAGTCTTGGGGAGTCCTCCGCCTTGTGTGGGGATGCTGTCACTCTTCACTCTTAAGTTGTAGTGTAAAAGATAACGGGACAGAGGGAATTAATCCAAGGACCAGCTTTGGCTTACCTGATGGGGAGTACAGACTGGTAGATGTGAGTGGGACAGGAAAAGCAGCAGTGCCGTGGAGCCCCTCCTTTCCTCTGGGATAAGGTCTGGGTCTGTAGTAGTTCAGCTTGTTATATATTCATCTGTGGGTATTTATTTGGCCCTGGCAGAAGGATGGACTTGGGCAGGTAGGTTTCTTCCATCCTTGTCTGTTTTGATCTCTTTCCCACACCCTGCCATTGCCAGACGGCCACAGTCTGGATGGGGCTGTGCCCCAAGGGCCAGCACCTTATGAGAGGGCCACCACACCCTTAGCCCCACAGCAAAATCTGCCCCTGAGGGAGGGAGACACGTTTTCGCAACAGCACTGTTATGACTGTGTTGGGTGACTCTGCTCCCATCTGCTGCGCCAGGAAACAACAAAGAAACTTGAGAACCTGGGGGCAGCCAAGGATGCTTTGCAGAAGGAGTGTGAGACCTACCTTTCCAAGAAACCCACCAGCACCTCGGCTTCCCAGCTCCCTGTTGCATTGAATGCCCTCAGGAGCAAATACAATGATGTCAACATGCTCTCCAGCCTGTACAATGAGAAGTGAGTGACGATGGCAAGGCCTGATGGGGATGAGGGAAGTCCTTGCGCAGAGGTGTCAACACAGAAGCATGAGAAAAAATGGTTTTGGTCTATATGGGTGTTGGTTGAGGTTCATCCAGCCCAGTACAGGTTGGAAACCTCCCATGAATCACCAAAGGCACCTCTGAAGGAGTTCCTCTATGTAACCTGTGGTCAGATCCCCCCACTGTGGAAAGTCCACCCTGCAATGGGTGTGTGTCCCAGCTATGCTGTGTGCAGTGAAATGCAATACATCCGCCTTCTGGGTCAGCATGACAGGGTTGTGAGTGCATATTGCTTGTTCTCTGACATGCTGTAGAAGCTCTGATGTTGAATAAGCTTAGATGTGCAAAATCAGAGAGAAAAGGAGAAGAACGGGGTCTTCCATAGCTAACCTTGTCCTGTCATTTCTCCCTTCCCCAGGGCTAAGGCTGCCCTGAACCTGGAGACTCGGATTGAGAACACAGACAAGATCATCAGCACGTTTGAGGCCAAGCTGGCTCAGGATAGCATCATTCCTGCATCCCCCAATGCCCTGCAGGATCGGGCCAACAATCTGCAGGTAGGAGAACATCAGGTTCTTTGTTAGGGAAGAGAGATCTCTGAGCTCAGGTAGCAATGGTGGGAAGAGATGGACTTTGCTTATTTGAGCACTCCGAGGCACCAGCAGTGAAGCCTTTCTAAGGACTCGTCCCTTGAAGGCTTTACATTGTTGTTGCAGGCTGACTTGCACTCACTACCTAGCAAGAAGCTCTGTCCCTCCCAGGCTACCTTTGGGGTCCCTAAAATACACGATGCACCTCTTGGCATCTAACCTCTGTTGCTCTGCCACACACCCATCCCTATTCTTTCTTGCTCTCATTCTCCCTGCCCCATCATTAGCTCTCACCCTTGACTCATAGGGACCCTTTTTTGCCTTCCCCAAAACTTCTCCCTTTTGCTCCATGCATCGTCCAACCCACCTTGGGTTCCCACCCTCTTTACTGAACAAGTCTCCCTGCTACATCTGTTCCACATTGCATGTCTCTTTTGGAGAGCCTGACCAGCCCCCAGGTTACCATTACCATTAGTAACAGCATTAAGGAGGGTATTTCTGGTTGGTGCATCGACTGGTGCAAACCTGGAGGTGACTTTCTCCCCTGCAGAAGATGAAGTGGGACCTGGTGGCCCAAGAGGACTGTGTGCTGAAGCTGAACCGGGGGCTCAAGGATGCTGAGCACAGCTGCAGCGCTGTGCAGAACAACTTCCAGGAGTACTGCCCTGACCTGCCCCGGCAGAAGCGGGAGGTGCAGCTCCTCAATGATCGCTACCATGCCGTTGCAGACCAGCTGGATCAGCGGTGAGGAACTCTGGCATCATCTCTGCTCTTCTTAGCTAACATGGACCAGGATTATTCCGAGTCCCAAGAGTATGTTCTTCATTGCAGCACCATGATCCCAACCACTCTGCTGTAACTCTGGGGACCAGGTCTGTCCTGCTGTGCAGTTGCCACCTTCCTATGCATAGCACAGGCTTTGAGCTTCCAGATAGCTGCAAGAAGGCAGCCCTAAGTGGCTGATTGCTGGCCTCTGCCTGGCCCAGTGACCCTACCCAGAGAGACCCTCGTGCTTAACTCTTCTCCCAGGCATTGCTGCTGGTTGCCTGCCTTTTTCCTTCTCTCACCTCCCAAGCTGTGTTCATGCTGCAGTAGCAAAACTGATGTGCATAGAGCTGTGCTCCCCACTCAGGGACCAGTTGTCACCCTCTTGTTTGTGTTCTCTTGGTGTTTGTCATGGTGACATTCTCACCACAGTGTCTTTTTGGGAACTTGCACATGAATCTTTGCCTTTCCCCTTAATGTTCACCTTTGTGCTGTGCAGAGAGAAGACCCTCAGAAATATCAGCCTCACCTACCAGCAGTTCCAAAACTCCAATGAGAACCTGATGTTCTGGATGCACAACCTACCCAAGCACCAAGTGAAGACTACTGATGGGCCAAGCCAGATCAATTACAAGCTGCAGGCACAGAAGGTGAGTTCCAGGGCAAGCGTCATAACCTGCAACGTTACGGGGAAGGGGAATTTGCTTGCGAATGGTATGCAAAATAGTACCAACCCGCTCCTAGTTGCGTGCTCCACCCGTCACAGTGAATGAACTAGAACAAGGAGACAATGGATTGCAGCACGCAGATGAAGTATCTTGCCCCGCTGCATTCATCTACAGTGCTGGTGTCCTCATTTAGGCTACTCACCCCTGGGCTGATGTCCTCTCCACGGAGAGGTCAAACCCAGGTCCCGACAGATTGCACCTTGGGCTGAGATGTTGCGTCTAAGCCCTGCATCTTTCTCTCCTTGAGATGATCCTAAGATGACTAGCTCAGATGATGAGATGTGAAGGTCTCTGTGTTGGCTGGTATTAATCTCATGATAAATCAGCGAGGTGGGTCCTGGGCTACTGAGCATGCTGCTGAGATCCTCTAAAGCCCAGGAGGCTTTCCTAAATGTCTTTCTGTTCCCACCTTTCCTTTGGTACCAGGCCGAGCTACTGCTCTTGCCTGCAGGAGTATTACTGGATTGCTGTATCTCAGTCTGTCCTTAACATAATGTGTGTCTCCTGCAGAGACTGGTGGAGGAGATCGAAAGCAAGGAGCCTGAGAAGAACGCAGTGGTCAGACTGTCCCGGAACGTGCAGTCCACCCTCAATGTATGGCTGGGTTTTCCCACGTAGCACTCCCTTAGTGTCTCATTTGAGAGATCCCAACTGATTCTTCTGTTTCTGCTCTGGACAGGACTATGAGCTCCAAGCAGGCAAGTACAGCTCTTCTCTGGACCCTGCCCTGACTGATGTTGCTGCAAAGAGGCTGCGTGTGACCCCCCTACAAGAAAGCATCCAGGCTCAGGTAAAATGTTAAGATGAAGGCATGGAAACTATTATCTAGCTCTTTACCCTTCAAGCCCCATGTGCTCTGCAAGGCTTTAATCCACTCTTGCAGCCACAGCTGATCGTGGTTCTAATCCCAAGGACAAATGTCATCAGGGATATCTCTATGGAGCAAAGCAGCATCTGAGATCCACAACTAGGGCTGTGTCTGGTTGAGATTGCCAATGAGGCCTCCTTACCATATTGTCTATGAAGATAAAACTTGCAGGGTAGGTTTGTGAGCTTGCACAGGCATCCCTTGATGTAGGTGATTTTGATGTTCTCCTCCAAACCCTTTTATTTACACATTTTCTGCATTTGGGACCAACAAGAATAATGTAGATTGTTACTGTTTTGCCAGATCTCCCTTGAGATTTGAGTATGACTTGCTATTTAAATATAAAACAGGTCTCTGTGTAGAAATAGCTCTATTTCCAGAAGAATCCAATGCTTTTTCTAGAAGTGGGTTTAGAGGAGGCTTTCAAACCTTTGTCTTGGCCCTGCAGAAGCGTGACAAAGAGCAGGTCATCTCCCGCCTTTCCGACTATTACTGCTGAATGGTGTTCGTTGTGTCACATTTTCTCCAGATTTGGGGACCTGTTTTATTAGTGCATTAAAGGCTGAATTCCACCTGCCTGGGCAGGACAGGTGAGCAGGTACTGGGGACAGGACTGAGCCAGAGCTCCTGCATGCTCTTCCCAGTTACACCCCAGTTCCCTGGCATCAACCTTAGGCTGTTCACCAATGGCCATCCATGTGTGCCCCAAGGTGAATTTGGAAGTCTGGACCCTCTGTAGGCTAGCAGGCATCTAACAGGCAGTCAGATAAAGGGGACAGGATCTCCTACATGAGTCCTTAGGCTCTGTACCTCAGTTTCTCTAGAAAGTCGGGTGTGAAGATGCTAATCCCTGGAATAGTGCGGTACCCAATGTGCATCCAGGTGAAAGCAGGGGTGGGAGAGTGTGCTGTCCAGCAGAGCTGTGTCAGGGCGAGGGGGACAAGGCTCTCACCGCTGTTTCTTTTTCAGGAAAATGATGTAACCAAGCTGTACATGGAGCTGGCAGCAGAAAATAAACAGCAGCTCAGCCGGCTGGAGTTTGCCAAGAAGATTGTTGAGAAGGTACCAGCTCATGGCAAGATTGGGGTACTCTAGATTGGGGAAATGATCTTTCCAAAGCTGTCAGCAATCTGCTAAGCCTGGGATCCTCCCACTCCTCCCTGGATGTCCACATCCAGGTGTGAGGAAGGAGAGGAATAGAAACCTCTGTGAGAAAAAGACCACGAGTAACCACAGTTTCACTGACACCAGTCTTGGGTTATGACATTCATCACCTCTGTGGCCCTCAACTGTAGTTTATGCTAAGAAAAAAGATTTGAATCAGGGCTCCTAAATCCTGTTCTCAGCTATATCTAACCAGTGTTCACAGACTGAGAATTCTAGATTTGTCTGTGTATGCGGTTGGAATTTAGTGCTCACAACTTCTGGAAACAATTCAAAGCAGTAGGACTTTTATGCCTTTCTAGGGCTTGATTCACTGGTAGGAAAGGTCTCTGGTTTGGGTGGCTTTTATTCAGAGTGCTCAGGAAGGGCAAGAGATTAAGCTGGTGAGCCCTGTGATGACCCAGCTGTGCAGCAGGGACTGGCCTTGTCGCCCTCCCCAGGCTGTGGATACAACGGGGCAGCACAAAGCACCTTTGTGGGCTGCTGCAGCACCTCAGCTGCTTGAGACAGGGGGAATGCGTCCTCTTTTGCCATTTTTAAGCAGCCTTATTTGGAGGCTCCCTGGGGTTTCTGTACCAGTTCTGTCTCCTACCGTGCCTTGTCATGGAAAAGACCTCTGCATCAGATTCAAAGAGTGACTCGGTTTCTCTGCCCTTTTTTTTTTTTAAAAAAAATTCTTTTTTTTTTTTTTTTTCCCCCGCAAAGGGAATGCCACGGGGACATTGA